TCACAGTTTCAATTTCATTACTTGTGATTGGTCTGTTCATATTTTGTAATTTTTCCTGGTTCAGTCTTGGAAGGTTATACCTTTCTAAGAATTTGTCCATTTCTTCCAGGTTGTCCATTTTATTGGCAGAGTTGCCTGTAGTAGTCTCTTAGGATGCTTTGTATTTCTGTGGTGTCTGTGGTAACTTCTTTTTCATTTCTAATTTTATTGATTTGAGTCCTCTTTTTCTTGATGAGTCTGACTAATGGTTTATCAATTCTGTATATCTTCTCAAAGAACCAGCTTTTAGTTTTATTGATCTTTGTTACTGGTTTCTTTTCTATTTCATTTATTTCTGATCTGATCTTTGTGATTTCTTTCCTTCTTATAACTTTGGGTTTTGTTTGTTCTTGTTTCTCTAGTTCCTTCAGGTGTAAGGTTAGATTATTTATTTGACATTTTTCTTGTTTCTTGAGGTAGACTTGTATAGCTTGAACTGCTTTTGCTGCATCCCATAGGTTTTGGATTGTCGTGTTTTGTCATTTGTCTCTAGGTATTTTTTGATTTCCTCTTTGATTTCTTCAGTGATCTCTTGGTTATTTAGTAACGTAGTGTTTAGCCTCCATGTGTTTGTGTTTTTTATGTTCTTTCCCCTGTAATTCATTTCTAATCTCATAGCGTTGTGGTCAGAAAAGATGCTTGATATGATTTCAATTTTCTTAAATTTACTGAGGCTTGACTTGTGACCCAAGATGTGATCTATCCTGGAGAATATTCCGTGCGCACTTGAGAAGAAAGTGTAATCTGCTGTTTTTGGATGGAATGCCCTATAAATATCAATTAAATCTATCTGGTCTATTGTGTCATTCAAAGCTTGTGTTTCCGTATTTATTTTCATTTTGGATGATCTGTCCATTGGTGGAACTGAGGTGTTAAAGTTCCCCACTATTGTTGTGTTACTGTTGATTTCCTCTTTTACAGCTGTTAGCAGTTGCCATATGTATTGAGGTGCTCCTATGTTGGGTGCATATATAATTGTTATATCTTCTTCTTGGATTGATCCCTTGATCATTATGTAGTGTCTTTCCTTGTCTCTTGTAACCTTCTTTTAAAGTCTATTTTATCTGATATGAGTACAGCTACTCCAGCTTTCTTTTGACTTCCATTTGCATGGAATATCTTTTTCCATCCCCTCACTTTCGGTCTGTATGTGTCCATAGGTCTGAAGTGGGTCTCTTGTAGACAGCATATATATGTGTCTTATTTCTGTATCCATTCAGCAAGCCTGTGTCTTTTGGTTGGAGCAGTTAATCCATTCACGTTTAAGGTAATTATCAATATGTATGTTCCCATGACCATTTACTTGTTTTGAGTTTTTTCAGGTCCTATTATTGTGTTTCCCACTTAGAGAAGTTCCTTTAGCATTTGTTGTAGAGCTGGTTTGGTGGTGCTGAATTCTCTTTGCTTTTGCTTGTCTGTAAAGCTTCTGATTTCTCCATCGAATCTGAATGAGATCCTTGCCAGGTAGAGTAATCATGGTTCTAGGTTCTTCCCTTTCATCACTTTAAGTATATCATGCCACTCCCTTCTGGCTTGTAGAGCTTCTGCTGATAAATCAGCTGTTAACCTTATGGGAGTTCCCTTGTACGTTATTTGTTTTTCCCTTGCTGCTTTTAATAATTTTTCTTTGTCTTTAATTTTTGCCAATTTGATTACTATGTGTCTCGACGTGTTTCTCCTTGGGTTTATCCTGTATGGGACTGTCTGCGCTTCCTGGACTTGGGGGGCTATTTCCTTTCCCATGTTAGGGAAGTTTTCGACTATAATCTCTTCACATATTTTCTCGGATCCTTTCTCTCTCTTCTCCTTCTGGGACCCCTGTAATGTGAATGGTGTTGCGTTTAATGTTGTCCCAGAGGTCTCTTAGGCTGTCTTCATTTCTTTTCATTCTTTTTTCTTTATTCTGTTCTGCAGCAGTGAATGCCACCATTCTGTCTACCAGGTCACTTATCTGTTCTTCTGCCTCAGTTATTCTGCTATTGATTCCTTCTAGTGTAGTTTTCATTTCAGTTACTGTATTGTTCATCAGTTTGTTAAATCTTCTAGGTCTTTGTTAAACAGTTCTTGCATCTTCTCCATCTTTGCCTCCATTGTTTTTCTGAGGTCCTGGATCATCTTCACTGGCATTATTCTGAATTCTTTTTCTGGAAGGTTGCCTCTCTCTACTTCATTTAGCTATTTTTCTGAGGTTTTATCTTGTGCCTTCATCTGGTACATAGCCCTGTGCCTTTTCACCTTGTCTTTCTGTGATGTGGTTTTTGTTTCACAGGCTGCAGGACTGCAGTTCTTCTTGCTTCTGCTGTCCTCTGGTGGATGAGGCTATCGAAGAGGGCTTGTGCAGGTTTCCTGATGGGAGGGACTGGTGGTGGGTAGAGCTGGGTGTTGCTCTGGGGGGCAGAGCTCAGTAAAACTTTAATCCGCTTGTCTGCTGACAGGTGGGTCTGGGTTCCCTCCCTGCTGATTGTTTGGCCTGAGGTGACCCAACACTGGATCCTACCCAGCTCTTTGGTGGGGCTAATGGCAGACTCTGGGAGGGCTCACACCAAGGATTACTTCCCAGGACTTCTGCTGCCAGTGTCCTTGTCCCCACGGTGAAAGAGAGCCACCCCCCGCCTCTGCAGGAGACCCTCCAACACTAGCAGGTAGGTCTGGTTCAGTCTCCCCTGGGGTCACTGCTCCTTCCCCTGGGTCCCGATGCACACACTACTTTGTGTGTGCCCCCCAAGAGGGAAGTCTCTGCTTCCCCCAGTCCTTTCGAAGTCTTGCAATCAAATCCCACTAGCCTTCAAAGTCTGATTCTCTAGGAATTTCTCCTCCTGTTGCCGGACCCCCAGGTTGGGAAGCCTGACGGGCTCAGAACCTTCACTCCACTGGGTGGACTTCTGTGGTATAAGTGTTCTCCAGTCTTTGAGTCACCCACCCAGAACGGCTACTCACAGACCAAGAGAATAGCAGTTATGGGATTTGATTTTGCTGTGATTGCGCCCCTCCTACCATCTCACTGTGGCTTCTCCTTTGTCTTTGGATGTGGGGTATCTTTTATGGTGAGTTCCAGTGTCTTCCTGTCAATGACTGTCCAGCAGCTAGTTGTGAGTCTGGTGCTCTCACAAGAGAGAGTGAGTGCACGTCCTTCTTCTCTGCCATCTTGGTTCAGCCTCAAGACCACCATCTGTGTCTTCTTCATTCCCAGGTCAACTCTGACAAATACAGTTCTATCTCTAGGTAAGTTTTAATCACTAAAGTTGAAAATGTACCATCATTTCAGTAAAAATTCTAACCAACAGTTCCACATCGTATCTACATCAAGAAAAGCGTTAGTCAAATGCTATCTGTACTAAAAAGCACTAACATGCTGAACAAGTTAAATTCATCAGGCTTTTAAGGATCTCAAGCCTATTTCTGTAATTCAGTCCCTATCTTCAAACTGAGTCTTTAGTGGATATAACAAAACCTCATTTTATGAGCCAATGAAAAGAACAGAACGGCTACTCACAGACCAAGAGAATAGTCTCATCTTAGGTCAGTCCTTTTTCATTTCGTAACAATGACAATTCCACTCACAGAAAAGAGACTCCCAAATTTCAAAGGTTTAAAGTTTCATTAAAAAATCATACACAAAATAAAAACTGGATTTATCAAGAACAATAATGGCATTATTTCATTCAGCAAATTCATTTAAAACATGGGTTACAGTACAGAAAGAGAAATGACAACATAAAGTCTCACACAACTAACTGATCTGGGAAACCAGTCCCTTCAAAGGCAACTGCAGTTCCATTTTCCAAGCTCTCTTCTTAAGTTGAGGGTCTTCCGTAATTGGTTTTTTTTTTTGTGGTACGCGGGCCTCTCACTGTTGTGGCCTCTCCCGTTGCAGAGCACAGGCTCCGGACACACAGGCTCAGCAGCCATGGCTCACGGGCCTAGCCGCTCCGCGGCATGTGGGATCCTCCCAGACCGGGGCACGAATCCGTGTCCCCTGCATCGGCAGGCGGACTCTCAACCACTGCGCCACCAGGGAAGCCCTGTAATTGGGTTTTACATTAAGTTTTCTCCATAACAAGTTTAAAGATGCATGTCATTTCCTCATCACCAAGTACTTTATTCCCCAAAATGTTTAAGCCAAGTACCTGATAACCAGGTGTCTCTGTTGTGTCCAATTCTTTTATTTTGTTAAGGAATATAAAACTGCTTTGAAAGTCAATCCAAGATCAAGTCCATACCAAAGTTCTAGCACTTGGATATTTGTCCTTGTTCTTTTAGGAAGTACTGTTAACAGTCATCAGTAGCTGCACAACTGAGATTATAATGAGTATTTTTTTTTTCTCTTTGTAAAGTCTGCCTACTAGGTTCTACCTCTTCCCTTCCTACCCCTGGGAGCTCCACCTCCCCAATCAGATTTAGATTTGGGAGGATGTGATTTTGTTCCAAGTCTCTCAATTTCTTCTGTGGTCAAATTATATGAGTTTAAGATTTTTCATAAAGAAAAAAGTCTCTTTTTATTGTTTCAACAAGAAAATATTAAAAGCCTAAGAGAAGTTTACCATCTGTCCCAACTCCATTCCATCAAGGCTGTCAAAGAGCTTCCCATTTGATGTGACAGCAGTGGCAGGATGCCCATTATCAACTACTATCAGCATTAGTATGATACTCCAGATTGGGTCTTCTTCACTGCTCACTTTATTTCTAAAAAGCAAAAGCCTTTGTAATTAGTTGAAATCTATCAGAATAAATTCCATCTCTGAAAGTGGAAGTATTTGTGTTGTTCCGTTCTGTTTGGTTACGTGCACATGACAAAAGACAGGATGACTCATTTATTCTGGACAAAACCAGACAGTGACAACTGCAAGGGAGGTTGGCTAAAATATTCCTGCGGCTTGGTGAAACTAAAGCAAAGTGCAAGTTGGAACAGAGTTCTAAACAACGTCTCCCAGTTGAAGTTCAAACTATCAGAAAGAAGGTGAAGGGGTATTAATAGGATCACTGTCCTAAAAACTATCGAGGTGGAAAGCCACCTCTGTGTGCTCCTCCACGGCCCCCCCTGAAACCACCTCTTTCTCCTCGGAAGTTAGATCGATTTCTTTCTCGCCCGCGGCCAGCAGAAGTCCCACCTCTTCCTCCTCCTCTGGGAGCTCCACCTCCCCGATCAGATTTAGATTTGGGAGGAGGTGATTTTGGTCGAAGTCTTTCAATTTCTTCTGTACATCCAGTCAAGTAGGAATTCGGGGTACTGAAGTATGATGCATACGTTTCTGCATTGTAGTTGCTATTTGTAAGAGTTGGTCCAACTGTAAGCCAGCCTGAAATGGAGGGAAAAGAGATTATCCTTTTTCTTTTTTCCAGTTCTCTCTTATTGATCCTTTAGGGGCTATTTCAAATCTCTAATGCATTCTTTTTCTCACAGTTGTGGCCTCACCTGTTGCAGAGCACAGGCTCCAGACACGCAGGCTCAGCGGCCATGGCTCATGGGCCCAGCCGCTCCACGGCATGTGGGATCTTCCTGGACCAGGGCATGAACCCACGTACCCTGCATCAGCAGGTGGACTCTCAACCACTGCACCACCAGGGAAGCCCCTCCAATGCATTCTTAAAGGTGTCCCAATCACTCACCCAATATTGATATTTTTTACAGAACACATGGTCATAAAGATTTCACATGTATATATCTTGTTTTTCCTCCTAGACTGTAACTTTTATAACTTCTTCATTGTCTCTATCCATATTTCACAGTCTGTGAGCACAGCACTTAGAAAAAAAATATTACACACTATACTGAGTTTGGGCTTAGTGAAAATTTAATAAATTTTATATCACCTTCCTACTTGTAGAAATGATAAAACAGTTTTCTGATTAACATCCTGAAACTAACTTTTGCCTCTACTCTTCCCAACCACAACATTAACCCAGCTGATAGGTCTCAGGAACTCAAGCACGACCATGCTGCTCCTATTCATTCCCATCTTTCCATTTCTGTTGCCACCCTTAAATTTTAGTCTTTACTTTTCTATATTAGGGGCTATTCCCCTAACACATGTAACAGACATACATATAAACTGTAATGATCTCCCAACCTCTCCCTTTAAAAGTGGAAAGCCTAAAGCAAAGCTTAAACTATGTTCCTTC